GTTGTGTACTCAAAACTATTCAATTTCACCCATATAGCACTGTTGTGCTTATCATAATTTTACGACACTCACAGATTGACATTTATATTAATATTATTTAATTATAATTATTTAAAATAAAAAATAGTATATTCTTTAACAAAAACCATATAAATCTAAGTATCAATCTTGGTTCAATATTTAAAAAAAGCCAAAAATTTTCGTATGCATTGACAAACCATTTTATTTCGGAGGCGCCGCAGATTGGTCCATTGTACACGAAAATATTTTAAATTGGTTCCATAAGCACAATAATGGGCATCTCGTAGTCAATTAACAACGATGTACTTACATACATATATGAAACCCACATGCTTACTTATACATGTATATGTATACATATAGGTACAGTTCCAAAAAAGTTCGATGTGCCTTAACTTTTAAAAAGCAGAAGTATCAGTACTGAAACCGCTATAAAGCAATTCTTTTTTAAATATTTTTTAGCAAAAACTTTAAAACCATCACAGTCATTACTTTAATTTTATTTTTAGATATACACACAAACATACATTACTAAGCAACTGTCGATTTAAGCGCATTTAGAGACAATTTGCGATTCTTGAACATGTAACGTGGCTTATAACCATCCTTATCCGCTGTGTACATCGTCACCGTTTCGGTTTCGCTCTTCTCATCGTAGACCGTATAAGAACCCATGACTACGAGATGTTCATCATCGGTACCCGGATTCATTACCATACCAATCTCTTCGCGTTTGCTGCCATTCGGTTCTTCCAAGCTTAAACCATATAACTTTACTTTAGTTGAATCATAAAACATTTGGCAAAGTATTTGCTTACTTGAACCGGTAACCTTCCCTTGTTGGTGCTTTACTATAGAATTTCGTAAGTATAGTTGGAGAGAGAGAGTCCAGCAAGCCAGCATTGCTGCTTATAGTGAAGGTTGCCAGGATGGCAATAAGTAAGAACTGGAAAAAAAATAAGTATAGTTTCATCTACTACATATGTACATACATATCTGTGGACTTTTGACAAAACCACTTTTTGCATTCTGTAGGTTGGATTTAGAGTTAATTTTAAGGAACTTCCAAATAAAAATTTAAAATTTTTTTATTTAACTTAGATTAAGATAGCATCTTAAGCTACTTCTATTAACGGTCAAAAATAGAAATATAACATGAGATCTCAGTTAATTATTGCTTTGGAGAGAAAATGATCTCACTAGAGAGAAGTTGTTTTGTCAAATGTCCACAGATATGTATATTTAACAAAATCAGTTATTTGTACATATGTCATGTTTTTTATAAACTTATGAGAACACACTTGCGTAGGCAAAGCCCGCGGGTACGGGCCGAAATATTTGCTGTCAGCACGAACTCGTGCGGGCCTGGCCCCACTAATATTCTTAACGTGCGAGCTTGTGCGTGTTTTTGAAAGTTGATTTTGCACTCGTGCCCATCTCTACTTCATACCAATATAAGACTTTTCACTGTATGAAAACTATCCGGTTATTCCTTAGTTTCAAAATTGGGAGCCGGTTTTTTTGAATCTGCAATTTTTCGAATAACTCGCAAACCAGTTTTGTAAAAAAGGCGAATAATCGAACACCCTAGTAAGTAGACCAAATTCCGCCCATCGATCGATAATTGAAGAAAATTTTCGTTTTCGGTGCCCTTAATATAAATTTTCTGCTTACAATTTTTATGGAATATTTTAACACCCTAACTAGAATTTATTCAAAGCAGGTTCAAGAAAATCCGTTGTGGTAGGTGCTAATGGGTTATCGTTTTCTATAAAAAATGCAGGAATTATGTTTGTAGTAGTTTTAGACATACAATTTATAGGCACGTAGTTATAATCATTTGATAGGGCACGCTTTTGTAAAAAAAAAACTTTTTTTTGTTTGAAATCATATTTTAAAATTTTGGCAATTTTTGGTAGGCACGCAAAAATCAGGTTTTCGTTAAAATAGAGAGCAACAGATTCATCCAGATGAAACCAAAATTTCAATAAAGCCAAGTACATAGAGAATTAAAATATTTGTATGGGTTAAGGCGGTTTCACCTGTCTCACCGAGAGCTCGAAAAAATACGCTCAATTGCATGTAGGCAACTAAATATATCATTTACTGTTTGCTTCAGAATAAAATAAAATGTGCCGAACTGAACGTTGAACCGGCCGCACTTCAGTAACCTCTCCGACAATAAATTTACTGCTGAAAGCAAATAAACAGCTGTCCGGACACCAATGGTGAATCCGGCTTTACTATGCGTTTAAAGAACTGGAGTGCCCAAATTAAGTATAGATGGAGCAAAATTGAAAAAACACGCTCTCGAAATTTTAATTTTGAAAATTTATTCTTGAATATCTTTAACCGACTTCAAAAAAAGGAGAAGGTTATCAATTCGTCAATTCTTTATGTAAATTACTTGATCAACGACTGGCGTGCTTTGTTGAACTCGGCCAAAATCGCTTAGGCAGTTACAGTGCCAAATAAGAAGAAGAAGACATTACTTGATATAAAATATGATTTTAACTCTTAGAACTTGCTTTTATTTTGTCTATGACTACTAGGCCAAAATTAAATGGTTTTTAGAAAAGGCATACAAGATTTTTCTAACAAAATTTTTTTCCGAAAGTAAATAAAATACCTTTTAGTTTATTTTTCGCCGATAGAAGTTAACTATTAATATCGAAAATTACCTTTCATTTAAAATTTTTTATTTTATTAATTATGCGTAAAAAGTTGTTTCTATGTAGTTTATCATCGTCAAACATTTGGCTTAAATCATGTACTGGTTTTGCCACATTTGTTTTTTTTTTGCCAATAGATAATACATACGTATGTATGTAAAACGCCAACCAAAAGTCAAGATCGCGAAGACGACAAAAATGGCCTTCGAAATAGCCAACTGGTTTTAATTTATTAGAATATGTGTCTATACTTATGTATGTATGTATGTATGTATATGTCGCACACACAAATTTAATCAAACTAACAAATATGAAATCATGTTTGATTATTAATGAAGAAGAATTACACAGCAGGGTCAAGTTTATTTAAGAAAAACCTGGAAAGCTATTTCAGTGCCTTTTTAAGTGATGCAAACGTGCAACAACGGTGGCCAAGCCTACTTTATTTCAAGAACGGTGCGATCCTTGTTCTTTAATTGAAGGCCGCCAAAACTGATTCGCATTATTTGTTTTAACAAAGCAAATAGAAGGTGGAAAGCTCATCGTTGTCATAAACATATTATACCTCGTCGAAAGTGGTGCTTCTCTTATAAAGCCATCTGTAATCCGGAAGGCCCATATATGTAACTGTAGGGCCCTCCATTTGTGTGAAAACATCAAGACGTAGATCACGAATTGCAGCTCAGTCAAGCAGCTTTCCTTCTACACTTCACAGATACTTTTTCATGGTTCTAAGGAAATAAAATAAAATTAGGAAGCTCCTGACGGAATTCGGCACCTTCTGGAAGCCAACAAATAGCGGCACACTCCTCTGCACGCTCAGCCACTGCCAACTACGCATGCATGCTTTCAAATGTTTAGCTTAAGCAAATAAAATACAATAATTGCTTTCAAATGATATCATCTTTTTCGAACGTTTCGAACGTTTTCCGCATACGAAAATTGATGATAACTGTAGCAGTTTTTTCTATTCGTTTTCGGATACGAAAAATTGAACTAAACTGCACTGTCGGCAAAATTTACGTTTCTTTGCTGGCTGGGATACTACATAAGCGGTATTGTTTTCAAAATTTCTTTTTGATGCAGAAATTTTCTTACAGCATCTACGTAGAAACGTTTCCACATAAAAAATTAAATTTTGAAGAAAAATGTCGCTTGCATCTTTTTAGCGGTTACGGCTCGATATTATCACCGAACATCTTATATAAACACTAACACATGAGCGGAAAATCCTTTCCATTTGTATATTTCTTGTCTAATTTTCATTTAATCGTTGGTTTTACGTTAAAATATTATGAACTCACCAGTTTTGGAGATGCCATGGTAAAGCTCGCAGCAGATCACAACACAAACTGAAGCGTAGCCCCCATTATGAATGAACATTTCGCCTCGGTTTGGATTTAAAATAGTAATATACATACATACATAGATATTTACATATGCAGATACTACCAGAAAATCAACAAAACTTAAAATGAACTAGTTAAAAGACAATATTGTGATGATGACGATGGTGATTACAATAGGGCAGAGAATGCATACATTTGTGTCGCTTATTGATCGTATTGAAATAAACGAAATACGGATACTTAAAATTCAAAATTTAATTTTTTATTCCGATCTGATCTGTTGCAGCCCAGGTACGCGACGCCTTCAGGCAAGGCAACTTCGAGGAAAATTGCGTTCGCAATATACAGCCTGCAATTTCGCCACTAAACCACTATACCAGCTCAACGAGGAGGGCAATATTCAATAAACCGAAATATCCAAGCAGTTGAACTACATCGACGACTCATTACGTACCGTCGCGCGAAACTAGTTGGTTTGCAGCGTCCCCGAAAGGGTAACGATGGGGAATTTCAGAAAGCTGCAGAGCAAAATAATGCCACCTACATAACCTCGCCTCGATTGAGCGCAACTCCAAACTATGTGGGATCCACATAGGCAGCTAAAGACGGAGCGACTTATATTTTCCATAATACATATAAAGAGAGAATCCGAAATAAGTGATTGCGAAGAGTTTGGGATGCTGGCCGATAGCAAGAATGGCCGAAAAGTTTATCAGAAAGTTAGGCAGACCAACACTTAAATCAACAGATAAAAAAAACGAGCCAAATTTGTAATGTAATGGCAAGGCGAAATTCAAGAATTCTTCTATTCTTTTTCAATTAACAAATACTGAAATTAAGCGTTGAGTGTTAATTTTATTTAAAAATAATTATGAATAAAATCTACAAGTATTACTTCAAGTATGGGCAGCTTCGTCTATACAATTGTGGAAGAGCAACTATTGCTGCACTTCTTTGTTTAACCGGCCCCAGACATTAAAGCTTTTGCACTTAATTTACGATTCTTCAACATATAGCGCGGCTTGTAACCATCTTTGTCCGCTGTATACATCGTCACTGTCTCCGTATCGGTCTTCTCATCGTACACTGTGTACATACCCATTATAACTAGTTGCTCATCTGGTGTATCTGGATTCATTACAACACCGATTTCCTCGCGTTTACTGCCATTTGGCTCCTCCAGTCTGCACGAATTCAAAATAATAAATTACACATATTTTAATGCTTCGACAACTGTATCACTTACTTGAAGCGATAACCCTCCTTTGTGGGCACTTGGCTGTAGAACTCCGTCTTGAGGGCAGGATATATGTAATCCAGTAGACCAGCATTTACCGATATGGAAAAGGTGGCAAAAATTGATAGAGCAAGTAACTGAAATTATAGAATTTTAATTCGTTTATATTAGTAAGAACTCATTGGTTACTAACATAGGACTTATGTTACACATATCGATAGAAGTTTTTTTTTAAAACAATTTTTTATTAATGCAGAAATGTATCTAATAGCTCTAGAAACATTTCTGCACCAAAAATATTATTGAAAAAATATCGTTT